GCAGCTGAAGTAGGGAAAACAACCCCGAGCCCCCGGTTGTTTTACAGGCACAGCCACGTTCTACTGCAGCACACGGTCGGCCTCTCCTGCGCCTACTCGCGCCGATGTGCGGGTGCCGAACACCGCTACGGCCTCGTGCCTGTTCAAACAGATACAGCGACCGGCGCTGGCCTGCTTGTGCACCTACGGAAAGTCAGTCATTTTAGGTTGCACATCCTTTGCTCTTGCTAAAATCCACACCGGGATGTCAGTGACGAAAAATATTCTCACGTTACCATCCTCTCGCCAACGTTTCAGCTTCCCTAAGGAGGAAGAAGCTGATCATTTACTGTCCCTCCTCCACCAGTTTTAGCATTTCCAGGGCAATTGTTTCTTGGAATTCACGCTGTCCATAGCCAGTCTGATGCGCACGTAAAATGTACATCTTGCATGATCTTACGATTATTTCGTTTCCAATACAGCAAAAACATGTTCAGAAAGGCCCGCCTCCTTCGCTGCTTCGGAGCGGGACGCCTAAGGATTTTTACCATCGTGTACTAACCCAGCAGGGTGACCTCGCCGGGTGACAAACCCGTAAACTGGCTTTTAAATCCTAATGCCTGTGAATAAGAAACGCCGTTTACGTGGTGTTTTCCATCAGCCTGGTCTCCCCCCCCAATCGTTTCGACAGTCACGCAGCATGAACAGAAAGAAGGAGCAAGGTGCTCAAGTGCCAGCTCCACTTAAATGAGCAGTGACTCCAGCGCTGGGCCGGAGCCGCTGTTCTGGCCAGTGACCTCAGTTCTCCCTGTCCTGGCGAGAGGCGAAGCAGCCGCGTCGGCCTGCCGCGGTGCTGTGTCAAAACATCTCGTGGGACAGCAGCTCAGCCGCAAGCTCTCCGAGATGGCAAAGTTGTCGCTGCGCCAACTCGCATGTAACCCAGCATACTGTGGACACTACCAACAAGGGATAGGGACAATTTAGAAACGATCCACGCTGTGTAAGCACTGCCCCTCTGCTCTGCTCTGGGGAGACCTCCCCTGGAGCCCTGCGTCCAGCTCGGGAGCCCTCAGCACCAGGAGGACATGGACCTGTTGGAGCGGGGCCAGAGGAGGGCTACTAAAATGCTCCGAGGGCTGGAGCCAGGCTGGGAGAGTTGGGGGTGTTCAGCCTGGAGAAGAGAAGGCTGCGGGCAGAGCTGAGTGCGGC